GGCTATTTTAAAAATTGTCCCTAATTCCATTATAATATATTTTAGACAAACAGGTTTCAGATAAAAGTTGTAGATAATCACATCTCTAATGTGTTTGTATTTTTCCGAATTTTTCTAAAACCTGTCATTTCTTGGCATATGACACAAACATATGTTTTTTTAAATGGAAACCATAGTTGGCCATGACTTCATAAAAAGCGCCATTTTTAAGCTTTTCAGCGATATAAGCTATAATATGTTAGTTATAGCCAATTCCTATCTTTCTTGACTAATTTCACTTAGTCATGGTGTTCTTATTTTGTTTTGTTTGGTTTGACAAAAAACAAAATACCGGATGCGTCTCAAAAGTGGCTCACCCCCTATAACTTTTTTATTTTTTCAGATAAAAAAAACTAGATTTGGTGTGTTAGTGTATGACATAAATTAGGATTGATTGACATATTCAATTGTTTTTGGTCACTTCTTGTTTCACCGGAAATTACTACAAATTTTGATTTTTAAACGGCACCCTCAATATTTTTTTACTTTATTCGATAGAAAATGACGTTCTGAATAGAATGACACATCATATGTCAACTTTTGACATTCTCGCTTAATAAAAAATTGTATTTTAAAATTCAATCTAGAGTGCCATGGCTATATTAAAAACACTAATTCTTAATCAAGGAGCCTTGGAAAAATAGATTTGATCGTCTAGTGTTTCTAGTGTCTTATCCTGGTCAGTTAGAAAATGCTTAAATCGTATTTTTAATCATATCTCAATTTTTTCAAATGGAACGAGGGTGGCTCATTAGCATATTTAGAAAAAGCATTTTTTTACGAATAATTTGATACCACACATTTGGTATTTCGAGTCAAATTTTCGTTACGAACCGCAAGTTATAATTTCAAATAAACTATATGCGAAAATGTCAAAAGTGACATATGATATGTCATTCTATTCATAGTTTTATTTTCTATCGAATAAATTAAAAAAATACCGAGGGTGCCGTTTAAAAATCAAAAGTTATAGTCATTTCCGGTGAAACCGGAAGTGACCGAAAACAATTGAATACGTCAATCAATCCTAATTTATGTCATATACTAACATACTAAATCTCGTTTTTTTAACTGAAAAAGTAAAAAAGTTATAAGGGTGAGGCACTTTTGAGACGCACCCGGTATATTATTAAACGGCTCTTTATAATTTACATTACACAAACTAAAACTTAAAAAAATAGTATCACTACCCCCCCCCCCCATCACTGTAATAACTTACACATTTCGTACACATTTTCTAAAATAACTTTTAGAAAATGTTAAAAAAAATCCGCCATTGTTTTGAGTACAAAAATGCATCTTTTTAAAACTGAATTTCTAGCTATTTTCACAGAACGACCAGTCGACTTAATTAAACTTCTCCTGTACCGCCTCTTCGAATAGAAAAAAAAAATACAGAGCGTCCCAGAAATAATTACAGATATTTTAACTGGTGGTATATTTCGACCCCAGAAACACACCTATGGGGTATTTTTCGCGAAAAATAAATTGGATTTTTTTTTTCGTTTTTATTTTAAAAACATTATTTTTTGATAATATGGATATATTTTCAAAACTTAACCAAAAAATCATTTTTTTTGGAGGAATTTTCAAAGTAAAATAAGTCGGTTATTTTGGACTTATTTGAAAAACGGTAAAGAGAAAATATGTTTCTTTTATCGAGATCTACGACCCCTTAAAATATCTGTAGTTATTTCTGGGACACCCTGTATAAAAAAATGGGGACTCGTACACCACTGTATCAAACATCAAAAGTGAGCGGAAAACCATTTTACGATTCATTCAATTCATCTTAAAAATCGTGGAAGCCAAGATAAAATATTGTTTTTAAAATATATAACAGCAGCTCGAAAGAAAATCGCTGGTCTATGTAATGGTTTGAAAATACCAAGTAAAATGCAATCGTTTATACCCAACCACTCAGCTAGCAGCAGTATCATTGAAATGTTATTATGCGTTGGTTTACCTTGAAATTTATTTCACCATCGGTATAAAGTCTGTCGTGATTATTATAAAACTACAATAAAACAAACATTTTTCGTATAATATAAAACTATTCGTTACTCTTACGTTTTTTTTTTCAGGTTTTCATCGAAAAAACCGGAAACAATATAAAATAATTTTTATCCACGCTTGTTAGGAACCTCTAAATAACAATGGGAAGAAATTGTTTGAGAAATATGCTTGTTATTAAGTCATTCCCACACCTTCTGACTTTCAAACAAAGAAACTGCAAGTGATCGCTTCAGCAACAGCCTTATAGTATTCAGCCACTCTGTATAACCTTTGGTTATTACTATACCAAGTCGTTTTATTGATATAAGTTAGTGATTTCAACGTGCAAGTATGCATAGGAAATATACTGTCGACCATATGAATGCATACATATTTTTCTTATGAATATGTTTTTTTTGATATTAGAACAGCATGGGAAAAGTTTATTAGATGTTTATGTAAATTGTACCGTACCCTATAATAAATAAAGTAAAACTGTATGTACTGCAAGAAAATCTACAAAATAAAATAGATATTTTTTGTAAACACTTCTGCCTTAACCCAAACGGAAACTACTTGTTAGAAGTTAGGTTTACAGATATAAAAATTTGCCCAACGAACAAAAAAATGCTTAACGTTTCGGAAAGTTTATCTATTTCCGTCGTCGGTAGCAAAAAATTCAAAGAATTAAGAAAAAAACTATTTACATATTTAAATTCAACTCTTCGAGAACACTTTAGTTTTTTAAAACAGACACGTCTACAAAAAACCGTTGACGTTCTGTTAAAATGACATTATATCCAAGTTAAACTTCAAAATTAACAATTACTACCTGATAACAATTACTTAATAAGGTAAAACCAAAAAGCCCCAAACTTTCTGTATGATTATTTTTAATTATTACCTATGCTATGTTTATTTATGTTATGTTCTTTAAAACCAAAGAAGCGATTGCGATTGCCATACATTACTAACATCTACAGATGCATGAGCAATACATTTATTTTTATTAGATTGTATTAAAAAAAGCCTCTTTTATTTTTCTTCTAGAGGCTATCGCTTCTTTCATTATGATTTTGGCGTTATTAAAATTTATTCTGTGCCCTGTGTCCCATGAATGCTGATAAATCTTAGATTTGTAAAAATTTCCCTTTCTTAAATAATCTTTATGTTCTTTAATTCGAACAATTAAGGGGTCTAGATGTTTCACCAATGTAACGTTTATCGCATTCACATAGTATTTTGTATATTACATTTTTTGTTTGTTGTTCCGTATTCATTGGTTTAATATGTGATAAAGTGGATCTAAGTTTATTTTCTGTTTTTAAAGATATTCGTATGTTATATTGTTTTCCTATCCTTATTTTTTTCCGGAACGCCTCGTATGTATGGAATTGTACGTTGTATATATTGTGTATTGTTATCATTATGTCTATGATTTGGGGTTTGTATTTCGTTTAATGTTTTGTCAATAAAATATGGTGGATACTCGTTCTTTATTAATGCATTTTTTATATGGTTTATATCTCAGATTCTGTTTAGTGAAATGTCGTCTGATCATATTATTTTTGCCCTATCATATAAACTCTTTATAACACCTTTTTTACACTTATACTGTGATTAGATGTGAAATTAGGTATAGACATTTTTTGAACTCAGAAATCTCGACAAAATCTGGACTAATGAACTCTGAAATCCGGACAATATCCGGATGTCGCAGAAAAGAACCAATAAAGGACGCAAATAATAGCACCAGAATCAGCAAAACATAAAGCAAAAAAACATTCACTTTTCAGGAGAAAAATTTGAGCGCAAAAGTATAGAAATGGGTACTTTCGAACATGCATCGCTTAAGTAGAGCTGTAGCATCGTAGAGACTAAAATATTCAATAAAGTAAATGAGAAAGTCGTAGCGTATTTCCATAATATACCATGTAGAGGGCATAATGTCTTTAAGCCCCGCCCCCAAGCTTAGTTCAGCAGCAAAGATGTCTCTAACCTGGTATAGAATGGAATTGGAAAATGCGCCAAAATCGGGTGTAGTTTTTAATTTAATACAAAATGCACTTTTTACATTTTGCGACTAAGAAGGCTCACGTGGCTTATATCATGTTGTAACGCTGACGCTGAGAAGTCGACTCCATATTATACCGCATTTGGCGCATTATCCTATTCCATTCTATACCGCGCTAGAGACATCTTCACTGCTGAACTAAGCTTGGGGGCGGGGTTTAGATACCCTATGCTCTCTACATGGTATATTATGGAAATACGCGTCCGGGTAACTCTGGACATATGGAAACCCCAATAATAAGTAGTTTAAAAATTTTTGGTATCAAATCCCCATAGAAATTTTCGTAATAACTTCAATTTACTCATTGACTCATTCAATTTAAAATTTTTCTATTTCTTTTTTTTTAAACCTCTCAATTTGACAGGTACGACGCCATGTTGATTGGGCTTTTAACAGAAACCTCAATACGTCCGGTTTAGCCTTTTTACTTTTTTTCCATAGCAACTGTTAAAATTGCCTTATATCTATCAAAAATAGTAGATAAAATAGTATTTTAACCGCAAGTGTAGATTAAATGACAACACAATGACACTTTAACAGCGAGGATAGGTTAAAAACTTTATTTCTTATCGCATATTTTTTAATTGCTTCCTTTTTTGAAAATTTTCTGGTTCCAATTCAATTAGCAATCCACACGAAAGAGAATTAAAAAATATTGGCTCAAAACTGACAACTAAAGAGACAACTTTATTTATTTGTCAAATTACATAGAAACCAACGCCAACCCAGCACAATATTTTTTCTACTCATAATAAATTCCTTGAAATAATAATTTCTGAATATTTTTTAAAACGTAACGTTTTATACACCATTATATTTTCATATTTTCATACCATTTTATCGTCTTTTTTATCAATAAAAAAAGTACATAGTTATTTATTTTTTCTTTCAGCTGATGGTTTACAATGTTGGGCCTGTTCGAGTGACATTGACAGGAGCTGCGCGGACATATTCAATACGTCAGATATCTTAAGATACGGAGGGGGAGGATTTTACCAGTCCGGATATCAATCAGGCTACAACTCACAGTATGATCCATATAATTCCAGACCTTACGACAACAGGTAGATAACTATTTTGAAAATAAATAATATAAAATCTGCATTTGTGTAACTAACAGTTGTTTGACCTGCAATCAAAGAAATATTAATATTGGGTGAGGGTAAATAAGTGCACATATTTTTAAGGGTGGTAATAAGTCCCCCATCAATTTTTTGTCGCGAAAAAAAATAATTTTTCAAAATTTTGTACTTTTTGAAAAATAATTTGAATAAATAATAGCTTCATGATATGACAACATTGGGTATAAGTAGTCAGAAAAAATCCAGTGGTTATGAATAAAAAATTAAGAAAAAATATATTAATAAATTATTAAATTTTCGAAGTAAAATAATTCAGCTATTTTGAACTTTTCTGAAAAACGGTAAAGAGAAAATATGATTCTTTTATCGAGAACCAGCTACGTCGAAACACCGATTCCCATTAGAAGACCGAAGTTAAGCGACGTAAGGCGATACTAGTGGATGGACGGGTGACCGGTTCGAAACTCTGTATCGTGCTGTTGTCCAAAAAAAGGCAAAAGTGTCAAATCTATTGACACACACTGCTCATTCACGCCGGTTCGAGGCCGGATGAGATCGGATATCTCGTAGAGTCGATTTTAGACACTTTCCAAGTCGGTAGGCCATTGACCATGATATGGCCGAGGACCGCGGTTCGGATTCCGCGTAAACAAAGTATGCCCCGTCCAGATTAGCCCTGGCAGCAAAAAGGAGACGTTAACTGAAATCTTTATTTTTTTATCCAGATCTACTAGCCCTGGAAATATGTGCACTTATTTGAGACTCGCCCTGTAAATTAACATTTTTTTTGAGTGATAAGTGACTTCATGAGGCCAATTTAATCGATATAATATTCATAAATAATATGTAATTTTTCTGGACAATGTAGTTAAATTTGTTCTTCCTAAAATGATAATTATTTAGTAAATTTTATGATAAAATATAATTCTTACAACAGAAATTACCTATTTTTTTACTAAAATTGCATTTTAATTTTTTTCGATTAAATTGGTTTGTGTAGAGTCGATTAGGTATATTTATTGTGCTAATATACATACCTCTAGTTCACATTTTGCATCACATCTTGTATATGTATCACTAACATTTCACAGCTTTGCTTTCACCTTCACTAATACATCTGTTTACTTAGACCAAATTAACTCTACTAAAATCTATTTTTTTCTGACATTTACAGGTAGTGTAGTTGGAACAGGACTGTCATTTAACCAAAACTCATACATCCATATTTTTTGGAACTAAACTAACTATAAAATCTGTTTAAATATAGCTTTAAGGGCCTTTTCTACAATATTATTCACAAATATTTTCAAATTTCAAAGAAAAATATGTATAACTCACATTTCCAGACGTGTAGTCTATGAACTTGATTTGGACTTCTTCAAGATAAAATTAATATAAATATTTTTAATGTCAAATAATAAATTAAACAGGCCTTTCAAGAAGAACTTCTACAAAAATCTTTAAGATTGTTAATTATCTTTAAAAAATTTCCAACTGAAAGACGCTCAAGAGCTTCATCAATGAGTATTAATGAAACTTACTATAGTGAGCTTCATCAAGACTCATTGTAAGGTAATATTTAAGAAATATAACAAATCGAAATTGAAGAGGTCTAGCGGGCTTCTTCATAAAAGTATTTGAAGAAGCTCAAATTTCGGCGTTACTTAAAATTGTTGTCATTTTTAAGAAGCTCAAGAGCTCTATTTAAATTAATATTGAAGAAGCTCACTGTAATGAGCAATAATTAAGAAAAATCGAAATTCATTGTGAGTCAACTAATAAAATTGAAATCTTGAGATGCCTCTTTAAGAATCTTGCGAGCTTCTTCAAAGAAATATTTGAAGAAGCTCATTCTATTGAGAAAAAAGATAAAAAATAAATATCAAAATTTCTGTCTTTTGAAGATTTTGTCCTATTGAAGCTCAAGAGCTTCTTCAATGAGTATTAATGCAACTCACTATAGTGAGCTTCATCAATACTCATTGTAGAGGAATATTTAAGAAAGATAACAAATCGAAATTCCTGTGTCATCTAAAAAAATGTAATCTTGAGGTCTAGTGAGCTTCTTCGCGTATTTGAGAAATCTCACCACTGTAAGATAAAAATAAATAATAAATAGATCAGGAAGATAAACACCAAATTTCGGCGTTATTTAGAATTGTTGTAATTTTTAAGAAGCTCAAGAACTCTATTTCAATTAATATTGAAGAAGCTCACTGTAATGAGAAATATTTAAGAAAAATCGAAATTCATTGTGAGACAACTAATAAAATTGAAATCTTGAGATGCCTCTTTAAGAATCTTGAGAGCTTCTTCAAAGAAATATTTGAAGAAGCTCACTCTATTGAAAAAAAGATAAAAAATAAACATCAAAATTTCTGTCTTTTGAAGATTTTGTCCTATTGAAGAAGAGCAAGAGCTTCTTCAATGCAATATTTGAAGAACCTCACTACACTAAGCGAAATACTATTCACATCAAATTGACTGTTTAGTTGAAAAATAAACATAATATAGTATAATCAAAATATTAAGTCTGCACATTGAATATTTTATCATTTTTTTTTGAGAGGGAGAAAATATTTTATGAATAATATTCTGTTTATTAGTAGCTATAGGTACCTACATTACAGCTGTGATGCAATGTGATTCGCGCATGTGTACAAATTCGACCAAAAATCCCCTTCTAGTAGAATGATGACCTATGTATACCTAATTGGCTCTAACACCTCAAAGAAACCGGTTTTTGTAGTCCCGGGTTATTGTAACTGTACGAATCCTTATTGTAGTTAGAAAATCTGACCACAGCACTTCTTTTATAGAGACTACGGACGAAGCACAGAAAATTATAGGGACACGAACCCTAAACGCGGGCCCTACGATGATAGGGACCCGAACTATAGAAGTCCCGACGACAGAAATAGAGATCCCTATCACAGAGACTCGAACCCACGACCTTACGACGACAGGAACCGAAATTATACCGACGGACAATACCATAACGATTCTAGGGGTTATAGGGACGATTATAGAGGCTTTAACCACTCTGACGTGAATTTTAGGGACTATAATAGAACGAATAATAACTATACGAATTATCAAGACCAAAGAGATAGGGATTATTATAATAGGGACCCTAATAGGAACCCTAATGATAGGGACTATTATAACAGGGACTCAAATAGGAATTCTAATGATAGGGATTATAATAGGGACCCTAATAGAAATCCTAATGATAGGGACTATAATAATAGGGACCAGTATGGTAGGTACCCTAACAATAGAGATTCTAACTCGAGTTATGACAGAAACTATGACTCTCATAGAGACTATAATAATAGGGAGAGTTCTACTAATGATCCTAATCGCGATTACAATCGAAACTATAATGATAGGGACAGGTATCCTAATAATAGGGACAGTTCAACCAGAAACCCTAACGACAGATATTCTAATAATAGGGATGACAGGTATGATAATCGCCGGGACTACAACCGTGACCCTAATAATAGGGACTCTAACCCTAACAATCGTGATTTTGATAGGGACAACCGAAACTACAGGGACCCCAACAGCAGGGACCCCTACTTTGATAGGGACCGTAACCGCGACAGGGACTACAACAGGGACTACAATAACAGGGACTACAATAACAGGGACTACAATAACAGAGATTCCAATAATCGGGATTACAACAACCGAGACAATAGGGATCCGTATTTCGATAGGGACAACCGCGATCCCTACAGCAGAGACCCCAATAACAACCGTGATTACAATAATAGGGACTACAATAACAGGGACTATAATCAGCAAGGAAGGAACTACGATTCTCAATACCCTCCCAGGGATTACAACTACCAGAGGTCGCAAGCGCTGGCTCAGAGTCAATCTGGAGGACCCAGGCTGGTCACTTGTAACGAGGAGGAGGCCAGGTTAAGGAGAATGAGGAACGTGTGTGTCAAAAAAGTTCAAAGAAGTGAGTATAAAGTAGGGATGTGGCGATTTTAGAAATGTCTAATCGATTAATTAAAAATATCGATACGTCAGTGGAGTATAAAGAAATACAGAGATCGGCTATTTATAAAATGGTTAATAATAATAAGTTATACAATTCGAGCAAAAAAAGGCGTCAAAGACGGTTGAGGAATGACAATCGATGATAATTTTGATCAAGCCCTAGTCATTGAGTCAAAATGATTTTTAAATGGTGTAGTTTAAAATTCGAGAAAATTTTGAGAACTGTATTCTTAATTATATATTTAATAATTAAGATATTAATAATAGTGAACAAGAAACGATGATTCAGTGAAGTCATGGTAGGCTTTGGAAAAAAGTTGCTTCTGACGTAATAGTATAAACGTCAAATTGTTATTAGATCAACATTTTGATAGTCTTAGCAGCGTTTTTTATCTTTTGATTGCTTTTTCAAAATGCCAACAACTACAACTACTTCAAATAATAAAGGCATTTTGAAAAAGCATTTAAAAGATAAAAAAACGCTGCTAACACTATCAAAATGTTGATCTAATAACAATTTGACGTTTATACTATTAGGGGAAAAGCAACTTTTTTCCAAAGCCTACCATGACTTCACTGAATCATCGTTTCTTGTTCACTATTATTAATATCTTAATTATTAGATATTAATACATCTGGTATTCTGGTATTTCGTCGATTTTAAAATAAACTAACTGTTTCTATCTTATTTTTTTGTTAGAATAGGCCTAATCAAGAGGGCTACTGATACTGTATTGTAAAAATAAGGTAATTAAGGGCTTATTTTTTGGTATTTATTATAATTTTGCTAACATCTTCGGTTTGAAAGAAGATATCAAGATGCGGTTTTTGTTGACTTTTTAAGCTTTTACTACTCTTTACTACCAGCTAAAATAGCACATACTATCGTATTTAATTTTTTTTTGAAAAAAGGCGCTATGTTTGTTAAATTGTAAGAAAGCGCCCCCTAGCGTCTACGTTCAAAACCTTATTATTATTATTATTATGGTAGAATATAGAGTAAGAAACGCTCTTTTAAACGAGCCCTCGTTTTTTGGATTCTGATCATCCAGTCCGGAGTTATCAACATTTAAATAAAGATAGATCTAACCTTCCCCCACCACTTTATTTTAACAGATATGGGAAAATGGTTCTAACAAAAAAAATCCATAATTTACTGAAGATTATGAAGCTATTATTTATAGTACCCATTATCTAAGCAAAATCCTGTGAAAAATCTATTTTCTTATTTTCCATAGCAGTTGCGCCACTTAGCGGCCGTTTTACAAACTTGAAAATAATTTCCAGCAATTTCTCATAGCTCCTTTAGTTAAATATTTTTTCCGTAAGCCCTACGGCTAATACTTTCCGAGATACAGCCGAGAGCTATTCTTAGTGGGACACCCGGTACATTTGCATACCAGAGATTAATATATATTTTAATATACCGGGTATTTCAAATTTGATCCTACTTTGTAGGTCTAATCGTAAAATTTATATGAAAAAATTCTTATACGCGCATCCTGAATTTTTTGCGCCATAGAATAGGAACCACAAACAAAAAAAACCACTCTCTAAAACCAGTAGGAAGCTAGAATTTTAGTACAAATAGAAAAAAACAAATTTTCAGTGTTAACTACCAAACAAAACAAACCATTATTGCGGCTTTTAAATTTTAAATCTAAAAAGTTAACAACGGCCTGACCTTCACTTTCATTTCAGTCAAACAACTTATATACACGACAAAGTACCTACACAGGTCGCTATTTAGGTCATATCGAAGTTCTTAAGTTCAGAACGCACTTTCACTCGAAAAATAACTCGAGATAGGTAGCGTCTTAAAAGAATTACTCAATCTACATTACAATATAATGCGTCCATTAAAATTCTATGGTGTATGTGTATATCTGGTTGCCTGACTTGTATTATTTATGTAATTTCGAAGGTAATTTCTTTTTGTAGTTGGTGAACATCAAGTAACTTACATTCGACGATGTGAGATGATCCCGATTGAAAGAGACGTTGGTACGTGTTACGATCCGGTGGCAAGAGGAATTTCTTTGGATTTCTGCGAGTACTGCCAGTACGATGGATGCAATTCAGCTAGTGGACTGAATTTCAACCTGTTCTTGGCTAGTTTAGTGTCCCTAGTAACACTGTTATCCTTTTGGTCATAAAAACAGAAACTCTTCATCACGATTTTCAAACTTTTGTTCAGAAAGACATCAAGAATGGCTGGTTGTATAAATATTTCTAAGAAATGTTACAGAACGATATAATTCTTATAGTGCAAAAGCAAGTGTCATCATTACAATATATTATTTCATCTATTATTATAATTTATGTTTTAAAATAAACGATCTTAAGTTTTAGTTTTAGATAGATAAATTTTAAGATTTATTTTGATGTTAATGTTGTGTTCTATAGATTTAAATGGCAGTGTTACTAATAATAAGATTTTTTATAGGAGTATTGTTTATTGTACAACAAAAATGATTTTGAATCTCAAATTTAATTATTATATTTGACTTAAGAGTATACTAAATTTTAATGTTAAAAATAAGTTACAAAAATATAAAAATTGATATAAAACTTTATTGCTTTTGTTTTTAGAATAAAACTATACAAAGTACATTTATTTCAGGTGTATATGTATAAAATATAAGTATAAAAATGGACGGATATAGCTCTTACATTATCAGTCATTACATTACATTATATTATACAGTATGATCAAAAAGTTTTATGTCAAACTTCCTTTGTATGATGACAGAAAAACAATTGGAAAATGGTATTAGTATTTTTTAACTGTCTTAAATCAAAGTCAACTGGATATTTTAAACTTTTTGATCACATAATATCAGAATAATACAGTTTGGTGTCAGATCTAATATACTAATAAGGCATCTTAAAAATCAATTAAGCTAGATATGTACACTTATTCAATTAATCACTAAACTTATTTAATTAATCACAAAGTTTTATATAAAATATACAGCGTTATTACAGAAAAAATAAGTAACCTTTTAGAATTACTTACGTGGGATGACGTATTACAACCATCCTTACTGTTACATGTACAATATTCCATAAAGATATTGTACGTACCGGTTCTCATTAGACAAAACCTTTCATCTCCTTTCAATCCTACTTCTCCTAAGAAGGCACAACTTCTGAAATACTTCCATACTCCATTAACTATAATAAAATAAAGTCAAAGATTTAGACACTTTCAATTAATATTTTAACAATTATTGTTACTAACCTTTTTGCCTAATTTTTCGGCATATCGTGCTTTTCTGCGTTCGAATATCGTACTTGTCATAAATATAGGATATCGGCTTGATCTGATCGCAATCTGTTATTGCGAACGTAGTATTGTCAAAGGGATCTGAGCATTTGGAATCGGCATCAGATCTGCAGTCCCAACATTTGATTCCGTAACCTAGAGCGATAGAAATAATTAAAACTGAATACATCTAGGAATTTTCGGGTTTGTTGTACATAATATCAAAGATCTGTGATTGAGAATACATAAAATTTTAGTAATTAATAAATAAAAATATAACCTTAATTTAAACGCCTGAAAATACTTACATATATCGATAAAAATACAGAGCAGTGATAAACCAAGGACAGTTCTTGTTAGAAAACTCATTACTGCGGGTTTGTGTGTGTATGATCAAGAACAAATTGATTGTTTTTGCTTGAAAAATATCAATTTAAAATAATTATTAAAAGGATTGGTCGGCTTAAAAATTTGAAAACTGTCAACGCCCTCTTCTTCTTTAATATTAATTCAGGCGTTTGCTACTTGAAGTGTTTAACCGTACTCTTAACGGATAAATAACAAAAATTAATCGTCCGTTTTTATGAAAAAAAACTTAAAAATGCTGAAAAACTAGGCTCTATCGTAACTCTTATTACTTTTGAACTGTATTTTGAACATATTCAGTCATCCAAAAGGTTCTATTATAAAAAGTGGAGATCTACTTCTACTCCTTTACTGAGAAAATTGTTCAGGAGTGCGAGAATACAACTGTAGAATTACATTAGAATAAGAATAAAACGTATAAAAAAATAGAACAATAAATGAGGACGCAATCAAACTTAGTTTTATGGATAAACCCTCTCTTTCAGGAATATTATTTTTTATTATGATTATGGTCCAAATGCGTACACCAGAGCAGGTTTACAAACTCCTTTATACAAGAAAAACTCTTATTTTGCTAATATTTTTCAATTTTCTACAAATTCCATATTACTAAATTAATTGCTTTAAATTGTTATTTGTTGTAGATACATTTTGAAATGAATATATTCAAGTCAAAAAATAAAAATAAACTATTATGATTTTCCAAACCTTGTTTTTGGATTTAAATATTTATTTATTTATAATAGATATATAGAATTATAATAATATTTCAATTTTAATAAATTTTCAAAAAACAGTTCACCGGACGTTTAATTTATTTTATTCATCCGTTCAGCGAACTCTAGGCACTACCTAAATGGCAGTTATTTATGGCGAACTTCACAGTAGTCATTAAAAACAAATCATTTTGAACAAAAGTTCAAATTTTAGAAATTTATGTTTTATTATTATGTTTGCTTGATTTTTATGTTTGAAAACTAGTTAGAGTACTTATTTAAGATGCTTATAAAAGTGATATTTGTATTATTAGCTATAGCTAAAATAGGTGGGTTAACCTTAATGTTTCCTGTCAACAAACCACTCCCAAAGTAAAATTTAATTATATTTTAGGTAATTCAGTGAGGTGTTATCAATGTAGTTCAGCAGAGGATCGTAGAAACGAAGACAACTGTGGTGCCTACAAGAAATTCGACAAAGCCAATCACATAGCTATCGACTGCAACAGTGAAGAAAGTCATATGCCTGGTTCATTTTGTATGAAAGTCACTCAGCAAAGCCCCAAGGGATTTATATGTATGTTATAGTTTTGATTTTGAGCTCATTAATTGTGTTTTTTTGTGAGGTAGATAATTTTTTTTCTTTTTTTAAGGGGATGGAAGATGGAGGCAAGTTATTCGACGTTGTGCTTCTGTAGCCGATACCGGAGTAACTGGTGTTTGTAATTGGGGTGTATATGACAATGGTATTTATTGGGAGGAATGCTATTGTTCAGAGAACGAATGCAATGCAGCAGGAAAATCTTTATTATACAGTTTACTTGTGTATATTCCAGTTTTACTCACATTGCTGCTGTACTTTTGCTGATAGGTCTTCTATCAAATTTTAGTATAAAGTGACTAGTATATAGGATTATTTTTAAGTACAAAGCAATACCTATTTAGGTCCATAACTTATCCGTCCATTTCTGTGGCTTTATGTACATTTTGTATTTTATGAATCTCAATTTTTAATTGTAATAAACTTTTTATCAACTTATTTTACAAAGCTGTACGTTTATATATTGACTGATGTTGTATCTTTTGTAATTTTTTATATAAAGAAATTGATGTTATAAAATAGAAAAAGGCGTTTCATGCATGTTTTTTCTTAATTTAATTACTAGAAAAACCTTCAAAGGGAAAAACAAATTGTCTTCAATTATTTACCTAAGATTTACATTAGTAAGTTATGCAACCAGTAAAATTATTTAGGAAAGAACTGGTTGCATAAGGTATTTTTATATTTAGGAATTTTTAAATTTTTAACAATTTTAAGACATACAGGGTGAACATACAAGGTGAATAATATTATACAGGGTGTTTCAAAAAACATGTACCGAGATAGTCTCTCGTGGAGAGATTCCTCACGTAAAAAAAAATATTTATTTTTCATATCAACATAGGTCCAATTCTGCTTTGTTCGTAGCTACAGGTTAAAGTCTTTAATATTTTTTCGATTCATTATAATTTCCTTCCAAGTACTTTAAGCGTTTTAAATGAAATTTTGAGGGTAAAAATTACTATAAATGCGACATATTTTAATGCTAAAAAAGTTTCGATAAACTCATCAGGGACATGCAATGGTCATATTTTATGAAACACCCTGTATAAATTTAAAAAACATCTTAAAATATGTAAAACAACAAAATAAAATATACGTGTTTAAGAGTTTTTCCGAAAAACTCACCGGTTTTTAAATACAAAATATTTTAATATTTGAAGGATAGTTTCACCCCTTTAGAATTCGAGTTTCGAAAAATCCCTTCTTATCGAACCTCTACACACTAAAGTCAATCTGTTTTCCAAAAATCAGCTTTTTACGTCAAGCGCTTTAAGCAGGCTCGTGATTAATCAATGACCAGATTTTTCGAAACACCCTGTATACATTTTTAAAAAATCTTAAAATATGTAAAAAAACAAAATAAAATATACGTGTTTAAGCGTTTTTTCGGAAACTTGACCGTTTTTTAAATAAAAAATATTGTAATATTTGAGGGGTGGTTTCACCCTCTTGGAACTGGAATTTCGAAAAATCCCTTGTTATCGAACCTCTACACCCTAGAATCAACCTGTATGCCAAAATTGAGCTTCTTACGTTGAGTGGTTTTATCTGATGACAACTGACAACTTCAAAAACTGTTAACTAGATGAAAAAAAGTGACAGTTTTTACTAATCTCAGCTTCCCCAACTTATCCTCTCCTCCTCCGAAGTGATCCCTACACCCCAGCTGACCTTTCCTCACCAATACCCTCTATCCCTATCATCCCTAATGCCTCCCGGATCCGGTAAATGACGCCTGCGTTCGTCGCGTCCCTTTTTTCAAGTCCGCAGCTGAAACCGGCGGCGAGCAACAAAGCGTCGCTGTCGTCCGCTCTTCAGTTGCCGCCGAGAATCACGAGTGGCGGCACCTAGCGGCTGTTACGGAGGCAGCAGCAGCACCAACGTGGGCGCGCTCGCGTGAACCCGACCTTACAAGTGTCCGTCGCGCAACGTACAGTGTGAACGCGACCTAAATGGGGGACGAATCGCGTATGTGTTCACACGTTCGGGTGTGAACCAGGCGTGAATAAACAGGTAAGGTATTTGGGGTGTTTTGTACTGAGATATGTGACTCGGTATAAAGGGGTTACATAGGGGATGCTTCAAATTTTATTGTTGAATAATATTTTTTATCGGTTCATTCATAATGTAGGTACACGATCTAAAATAATTATATGTATTTTACCACTGAGTCAGAAAGTTTAAAAAATAAAAAAATATACAGGGTGGTCCGAACTGTATTCCGGAAACTTCGGCAGCGTATTCTGCAGATAAAAATAAGTAAAAAAGTTCTTATAAATGTAAGTCCTAAAATGCTTAGTTTCGGAGATACAGGGTGTAGAAGTTTCATTTTTATTTCGATTTTTTCCAAATAATTTCTGAAGTAACGTCAATATTTGGATGGCACTATCGGACAAAAGTTTGTCTACTTTTGTCCGATAATGTATGTGTCAGTGGATTATAAATAAACCCAATGACATTTAAAAAAATATATTTTCTTTAAAAACTAATAAAAAAGGTTATTCTTACAGAAAAGGAACCACCAAAAATATACGAGATATTTTTTTTTATCTGTGAAATGACTTTTGAAATATTTTTTCAATTGTTTTGTTTGCTTGTAATTAAAAAAATCCTGCTGTTTTTTTATTTTTTGCACAAAATTGTATATATTTTTTACTTACGCATAATATAAATAAAAAGAAATATAGGTATAGGAAACTGTTTCATTAAAATAAATATTAACAATTTTTTAATTTTTTTTTTAATAAAAAAATGTATGTTATTCGTATTCAGTTTGAACTTAATTATGAATGCATTTTTAGATGTTTATGTCATTCTTCTAGTACGGTCCGCGCGTTGTTTTTACAAGAGGAAAAACAATCTGGGGACATACTGTATATATTTTTTGACGGCGTTGTAACAAAATTTCTGTTTCACAAATATCTACAGAGTGTTAAATTTTCTACTTAAGCTTCGTTCAGAACCTCACAATTAGTAGAATAAATTAGTGGTTTCAATTAGCGTAAAAGTTTGGTCACCTAATATTAATGTAAGCATTCAGAACATCATAATTAGTGGTTAACAAACTTTTGACTTTTCCAATAATTAAGCTTGATTTTCATGCATCCGTTGTCCGACGATACGATGATACGATATTCATTTTAACATTTTATTGGTTGAATTGAAAGACTTTGATTGGTTAGAAACGGTTAACCAATCGAAGTCTTTAAAATCAACCAATAAAATTAATATCGTACCGTCGTATAGTCGGATAACGGATGCATGAAAATCAAGCTTTATACTTCAAAATTTGCGAGGAATGTCATTTTGGCCTTTGATTATCATCCGCCAAGAAAAATTTTGGTTAGAAATCAATAGTTTATTGAATTAAGCTAAATATTATCCTTGTTTATATATTCTTATTAACACGACAGGCTCAAGAATTAAATCACGATATGTGATTCCTCTCAGAAACCTTTCAAGAAAAACGAGATCGGTTTTTCGGCCTAACTGGACTCCTCCCCAGACCATAATTGTTCCACCTTGATAAGGGTGCACTTCCTGAACATGATCCAACCGAATAAGATTTCCTGGTTCTCTCCATACACTAATCCTTCTCGAATCCGGATGAATTGAACCAAAGCGTGACTCATCCGTGAAGAGAACATTGGCACATTGTTCATTCGACCACTGAACATGATCTTGAGCCCACAAAATATCGTACCTCTCGATTTCCTCTCGTTAAGGGTTGAGCTCTCCAGGGGCGTCTGCTTCTTAAGTTGACCTCTCTTAATCTATTGCGAACAGTGTCAGGACTAACGGTTACATTATGTGTTTCCTGGAGAATTAAACTAAGCTCTGGTGCTGTAAGAGTCGGTCGGCGTCGAGCATTTAATTGTAAAAAATGATCTTGCTGGGGTAGTAATGCGATGTCGCCTTGTGTGCCTTTCAGCAACATCACCACTTTCACGGTAGCATGCACTTAATCGCGATATTACACTTTGCGTTGTATTTAATGCTCTAGCTACGTCGATTTGGCGCATTCCAGTTTCAAGCATAACCATGGCCCTTAGCATTTCGTCTCTGTAAGGTCTACGCTCCATAATGTCGTTTAATACTAAACAGAGTTATTTGAATGAATTCTGGCCAGTTATCATAAAAACATAGCCAGTACAGGTTAAATTCCAATAATTGATGCTAGGTGCTTTTTATACATTTGACAAAAAATGCACAAACACTTCTGCAAATATCCCAAATTTAGAAATAACTAGTGTGAATACTTCGTTTCAATCGAAGTAGAAAGAATCGGCCTACAAATATGTAGTTGTTTATTCAAAACATTTATTTTTAACTTTAATAAAATGATATCCCTAGATTTTTCCGGTGTGTGTATTTCGACAAAAGACATCCAAAAAATGACAGAAAATGCCCTTTACCTGTGAATTAAAATGACAGACAACAAATGTCACGGGCTACATGTCGTTGGACCTCAAAAACAAGCGAGCGGGTAATTAATAAGTCATAGATAAAAGTTAATAATCATAGTTAAAACTTAAAGCCTATAAGGAAAATAAGAAACCAAGATTTGTTTTGTTATATCCTGCATAATCGACGGCTTCCAATCTAAGCAGTAAAGAGAGAGCGCCTAAGGGGGGCCTAAGAGGCTTTGTTCACTCCCACAGTCTTGGTTTACGCTCTGCCCCATTAAGAAATCTCCCGGAAATTGTGCCCTAAAGCCAGGAGTAATGATACCAAACCGTTATACTGAATAGGGTGGCTTTATTTCATCTCGCCACCATTTCTTTGGTTTAGTTTTACGAACCACGATCTTAGTTGAGGTCATTAAGAAACAGAAACAACTGTTGAGGCTTTTTAAAAAATCTTTTTCTATTAAGAAAAAATCATTTTATTTTCTTCTACATATTTTAGTTAATATTTACCGGGTGCGTCTCAAAATTGGTTTACCTCTATAACTTTTTTATTTTTGCTGATAGAAAATCGACATTTGGTATGTTAGTACATGATATAAACTAGCGTGTACCAGCGACTTCGTTCACGTCGAATTAATCATTTATAATGGTGATGATAAAGCAAAGCAAGAATTTCCACTGACACACAAACTGGATAAAATTTTCTCACATTTATGTCAGCATGAGAAAAAACAATATGGCGATATTATTATAACTTGGTAATATTTGAGGGGTAGTTTCATCTCGTTGGAATTTGACTTTCGAAAAATCCGTTTGCCAAAAATAAGCTTTTTACGTCAAGCAGTTTAAGCAAAATCGTGGAAGAAATTACCCAACTTTTTGGAACACCATGTATAATTTTTTAAAAAATTTCAAAATATGTAAAAAAACAGAATAAATTATGCTTGTCTAAAAGTTTTCCCGAAAGACTAACCGTTTTTTAAATAACAAAGATTGTAATATTTGAGGGGCGTTTTCACCCTCTTGGAATTTGTGATTCGAGAAACCCCTCGAAC